TGGGCAGCACGGTGGCGCAACTGGTAGAGCTGCTGCCTCTCAGCGAACAGGTCCCTGGTTCAAACCCCGGTCCAGGTGCCTTCTGGGTGGAGTTTGCATGTTCTCTCCGTGCATGCGTGGGTTTTCTCTGGGTACTCCGGTTTCCTCCCACAGACCAAAAACATGCATGTTAGGCTGATTGGTAACTCTAAATTGTCCCTAGGTGTGAGTGAGAGAGTGAATGGTTGTTTGTCTCGTTTGTCTCTATGTGGCCCTGTGATGGACTTGCGACCTGTCCAGGGTGTACCCCGCCCCTCGCACAGTGATTGCTGGACATGGGCACCGGCGACCCCCGTGACCCAAAATGTAATAAACGGGTAAAAGATAATGGATGGATGGATGGACATATATATATATATATATATATGTGTATATATACACATATACATACACACATACATGCATACATACATACATACATACACACAACTTCAAAATAACAAAAACTCTCACCCTGTACTGAAAACAGTTTCAGCGTCTCAGCGCCACCAGCTGGTGAGAGGTGGTGACGTCAATTTGAACCCCGCCCACTGGATCCGGTACTGAAAGCATAATGGAAACACAACCTGTACCGTACCGAGTAGAGTAGAGCCGTGCTGTACCGGTACTACAGGTACTAATGGAAAAGGGGCTTAAGACTGGAGGATGAATCCTCCCTTTTCGTAAGAGATAAGCATACGTTTTAGATGTTATATTTCACTGGTCAGATGGAAAGGTTCTCATACAAAAGGGCCTTTCAGCTTTGCTGAAATCCTAACAGCAGGTGTGCAATTAATTACAATAACAGATTTTTGTTATTCATCTTATATGATAACATGTGGTTCCTTACTGTCCAGCTTTGGGAATGAGAGTCAGCCTTACTGTCAAAGTATCAAAAGAATAAAAGTTTAATGGTAGAAAAACCTTGATGTGTCCCTACAGCTTATTGCAGCTTCTTAGTGGTACACATTAGGAATTAGCCTTACAAATGTATTTGAGTTTACAAACTAATTTTACATCTGTTTCTACAGCATTTTTAGTTCATAGCCTATATTTATTAGATTGGATAATTAAATGTTAATATATTTTTGAATAAAAATTGTTTGTGGTTAAATTTGACAATTAAAATGCAGACATTTATTCACAGAGCTTTGAAAGAACCACTGTTATTTAGCCACGCTAAAATGTCCTTCTTTGTGAAAGTGAAAACCCATCTTGCCATCCAAGTGTTGCCATCAGACCAAAGCCAGTAGAAATGTGCATACACCAGTTGTGGGACCAGAGTCAGTTTATTATTGATACATTGGAAGTTTGGTTTGAAAAAAGACTTTATGTTACTTTTTCTGTGTGTATGGCTCCTTGTCCTTCTTCAGCATTCAAAGACAATGTGTTGAGAGAGGGGGTGTTTTATTGTCAGTTCACTATCAAATTGATTCGACTCAATATTTATACAGTGCCAAGTCACATGAAAAAGTCAGCTCAGGGCTCTGTACACAAACATTGATATAAATTGTAAAGTACCACAGAGTAAAATGTGTCTATTTAAGGAAACCAGCAGATTGTGACAAATATTCACTTCATCACAATCCCCCATCTTGATCAAGCACACTGGCAACAGTGGACAGGAACAACAGAAAAGAGACACAGACAAACACCCTCTGTTTGATTATAGCCATCCATTGGGACAAAAACTTTCTGTCATTAGATCTCTATGCCATTGGGCCAAACATGTCCCCATAATTTTAGAAAGAAAAAAAAAAGGAAAAAGATATTCACAAAAACTCTCCAAACGTGAAAATCTCAACTGGGCTTTTGTTAGGACAGCAAGGAACTCTAGAAAACATTCCACAGAACAGGGAGGTAAAGAAAAACAGAAGAAACATTGTCATCCCATTTGTTGCTTGAGCATCTGAAGGTTTTTTAATAAAACAGTTCAGCAAAATGCTTCGTCCTTTTGCTTCTAGCAAAGATGGAGCCAGCCACGTCCCACACAGATACGACATTGCACAAATGAAGGAGGATTGCTGAACCAAAAGAGGCGTGGAGCAGAGCTCTGCTGCATTCACATGGAGTGCAATGTGTGACAGACATTTCATCTCATATTCAAAGCATGATGAAATTATGCCGTTTAGCAATTCTCTTGGTTAACTAATTTTTAAAACTAAAATCAAAGTTGCTGTGCTTCACCAGTGATCTTTCCTTGGTAATGTAGGGGAACACCACCTTTGTTCACTTCATTTCAATCAAACATCATTCATGTGTTTTGTGTTTTAAAATGTTTAAAATAAGATGCATCTATTCCCTTAGGAACAAACAGACTTTGCTTTACAGGTGTTCAACTCAGCACTGACTTAGTTGACACTAATGAAAGTGTAATAAAATAAAAAAAACTGTTACTGTGTTAACCACTTTCAATATTAACTCGTTTCCCACGAAACAACAGGTCGTTTTAATGAGTTTGGTTCAACTGACCTCGAAGTGAAACATCTGCTGAGATGAACTTTTTTTTAAAAAAGGAGTATTACTCCCAGGATGGGTTCCCATGGAGATAACACATTTTTAAAGAACCCTTTGTTTAAAATGACATTTTCGTCTCAGGAGATGAACAGCGACACCTTTGGATGAACATTGCATGTCATTTCAAAAGCTTCAGAAGTGAATGTTTGTTTATGAAAATGTCTGTTTAAGTAATCTCTCTATAAGATAATCACTTGTCTTATGGTTTTTCTCTTTTAAAAAGAAGAGTGACTTTTAAAGGCAGACAGAGAAAATGGACATTAGATTTTATCAAACATGACAAAGAGTTAGGACCACCCCTCTTCCGAGAGGTGGACCAAAGTCTATCTGTAACACACAGACAGTTAAGTTTCACTTGTACTTATACTTCTACTTCCATTCTACTTCTACATCACATCTTCTTCACCACATCTTCTTCAAGCACTGAACTTCGAGCAAACTTCAGAGAAAAACTTCCTCCTAGGGCGATATCCTAGGAAGGAAGAAAA